CATGACATATTAAAAATGGCCGAAACGACACTTAGAAATCATATCATCCCTATTGGAAAAGCCGATATAAGACGACATGAATATACCATCACTCTGTGCATATTGGCATGAAAGACTATTTTGTTATATAAATCAGCAGCGATTTAGAGACGCATTACATCTCCTAAGAGGCAAGTGAGTAGCTTTCAGCCGTTGGTTTAAAATCATTTACAAATTTTTTACTATTTCCTTCATTTACATAACTAGAAACATATCCTACAAAGGATTTGGTCCGAAATATGTTGATTTACGAGATACCGAATCCCAAACTCGCTTTAAACGCGTTTTGATAAAAGAAGTATTTTATTTAGTTTTGGAATTCTGGCAAAAGGTCATTCATCGAAGATAAAGATTTACTTTGCAGACCTTCAGGCTAAATAAATTGGAAACCAGCTGGATCAAGTCTAAGGATCTGAAACTGGACCATGTTGAAAAATAAACCACAATCTTTGGACAAATTTCGGTTTCTTTATAGGCTATGTAATCATCTGACATCAAAAATGACGAAATTGTGGGGCGTGTTGACTAAATGTCTCTTTGCATGTACTTTCTTATTTTTCTGCGTTAGACCTTATTTTCACAGTTAAATATGATTCTGCTCTCAGTGTTACCATTTCGGGCTTTTGCCGCAATAGTATTATTATAACCTTTATTATTTTTATACTTTTGCAACATGTTGCTACAGAGTAAAATATTAAAATCGATATATACATATATACTTGTATATATACTTGTATATATATGTATATGTATATATACAAGTATATCAGGATGACAAGATGAGTTCAAGTCCAGGTGACTGTCTGTCCGTCAGTCCGTGCAAGCTGTTACATGAGTGAAAATTAAGATATCTGATGAAACTTGAACGAAACAGTAACTACGGCTTCGTAGATGGGTGTAATCGAACCACTGCCACGCTCACAAAGCTCCATCAATCGAAAACATAACTTAAGATATAAAACTGTAATTCGGTACCGAGGATTGCAGTAGCAAGGGGCACCTGTGGGCTAAAAATTATTTTAAAGTGGCCATGGTCCCGCCCTCTAATAAGTTTATTGTACATATCTCTTACACTATTCAAGCTATATCACCCAAATTAGAGTGCTTAGGGCAAATATCTCAAGAACCCCTGTCGACAGTGTGAAAAGGGATGAAATCGGATTATAACACCGCCCTCTACCCATATAACGGTTTTGTTAAAAACTAATAAAAGCGCGAAAAATCACTAACTAAATGATGTCAAATTTGGAGGATGGGCGTGGCACTCCTCACATTTAGGGGAAAATCCATATCTCGGGATTTTCTACACCGATTTCAATCATGTATATGTAGGTATGTAATATAACTTTGATATTTTTATATAACACTGTGGAAATAGGTGAATCCAGACAAAACCCACCCCTACTTTTAATATCATACAATTTTAAATTCCATCTGATTCTTAAATTTTCCAGTAATCAATGGTTCCGGATAAAACTTTGAGCAAATAGTGCCCTCAAGATATTTCGTCCTACGCTCAAAAATTGTCAAAATCGAACCATAACTTTTGAAGAACCCAGACGCCAAATATGTGGACCCTAGTGCGTATGGATGACTTTTTAACGAAAATATCAGTCAATCTGTTAGATATATAATTGAACTTCGGGGAAAATGTTTTTATGATAATAATCTACCCTTGTGTCAAAACTGGGTTGAATCGGGTCAATACCTCTCTTAGTTCCCATACACCTAATATAATGATTTTGAACTTCCAGTTGACTTTTTACCACATACATATGTATGTATATCGGCCAATGCCAGATAGTCACCCGGATTTCAACTCATCTCTTCATCCTGATCATTTATATATATTATATATAACCCTATATCTAACTCGATTAGTTTTAGGTGATACGAACAACCGTTAGGTGAACAAAACTATTATACTCTGTAGCAATAGGTTGCGAGAGTATAATAATGGATTTCTTTTTACTACACCTAATATTATATGTTTATAAATTTGCTTGAAAATAAGCTCAAGATTACCTGAGCAATGCAAAATTAATACCATCAGCCCTTCCATTTCTATGCCCTAATGATTTTAGCATAATTTTTGCTGACGGGAAATTAATTGTTATCCATTCACGATTTCTTCGAACAATGACTACATTTTTAAACTATTGCATAGCTTCTATTTCAGGCTTTAAGCGTGGGACTGAATCAAGAAATTCCGTAACGATGTATTTTTTTAATGTCAAATACAAATATAGAATTTAATAATCCCCATACTGCTAACAATATTTTTAAGAAAATATTAACTGAATTAAAGAAATGGGGCATGAAATCTGGTGCAACAATTTCCATTCCAAAATATAAATTACTACATATTTGCAAAAAGACAAAATGTGAATATCCACAATTAATTTTTGAAAATATTGTAAGAGAATCAGTAAGCAATTTAAAAATTTTAGGAGTATATTTTGATAAATGGTTTAACTTTCAATGTATTAACCTAGGAAATAAGTTAACAAAAAGATTATGCACAATTAAATATTTAGCTAGTAAACGATCTTTTATTCATCCTAACTCCCTAATGAATGCTACAAGAGCCATAATACTCACTAAAATCGACTACGGTTTACCCATTTTTGGATGGTGTGCAAATTCGAACCTGAAGCTGTTAGAACCTCCTTATCATGCAACGAGCCGTCGGAGTATAAACGCTTCTCCTACGTCACCTATTAAGTGTGTCTTGACGGAATGTGGCCTACCATCAATAAAGGAAAGGGTATACGAAACAACGATGCAACTAATTCCAAAACTGATATACTCTCCAAATGCCAACTTACAAAACGGTAATTTACGCGTCACGACATAAACGGAAATTCGGGCTAAAATCCACTTTACGCCGCTGTATCAAATACGGAAAAACTTAAACATACATCCGCCCCAAAAGTGCAAAGAAGTCAACAAACAGCCGGAGTGGTTGTTAAAAAAAGAAACTATCAACATGACTCTTCACACCTTTCAAAAGACCAACACCAGTAATGAAGTATTTCAGAAACATTTTTTAGAGTTAATGAAAACCTATGAAGAAGACAATTGGACTGCAATTTATACAGACGGGTCCAAAGCAACAAATACAGCTTTTGCTCTCACTAAAACAAACGGAGAATTTATAAAAGGCGGGATTCTTCCGTGTTACTCGTCGGTATTTACAGCTGAGGCTTTTGCCGTTTCAAAAGCACTAGAATGTGCGATACATAACAAAGGCAAGTTCTGTAATATGCTGGATCGCTACGTTCAAGAAATTGGGCACACGGAATGGAAACATTTCGACCATCGATACTCAACCTTCAACCCTACAAGGACAAAAGTTGTATTTCCTGGGGAAATATCTCGCCCACAATCTACCATCTTCACACGCCTAAGGGTTGGCCATACACAACTTACACATCAGCATCTCCTTACTGGCAAAGTGAAACCATCATGCCCTTTCTGCACAAATATTCGCTGTAGCCGAACTCTCGGCTTTAGCAAGTATTAGGCAAAAGCACAACTGTTTTCCAAATTATTAAGAAATTTTATTTATAACTTTTTTACCGATTGTAACCTACAAAATAAAATATAACCAAATATTTAGGCTGTAATCTTAGATATTTTCTCAGAGTCGATGGCTTTAACAGCTCATACTCTTATATTTTGAATTAGGTTTAATACTACTTTTTATATTTCTGCTAATAAGTAAATAAAAAGAATTTAATAAAAATTAATTTAATAAAAAATTAGTTATTCACTATACAGAGTCATAATATGAGTAACCTTATTATTATTTTGGTAAATAGCTACCCCACCTTTTGAAACAGTATCTCGTTTGAATTGAACAATACAATTGATATAAGGTATTACAATTATCAATGGTAATACATTTCCACTTATCTTGGCTGTCGATTTCAACATCAACTTCGCTGATAAAATATCAAAGCGGTTGACAACTTTTCTTTGGGAAAAATTTAATTTGAAATGGAATAATGATCCACAAGAATCCACAAAAAAATATGGGACCACCATTGACCCGATATTATCCAGATATTTAGAGCAGCTATACTCTAAGTGTGTTCCGCGGAACCCTAGGGTTCCGTGATACCTCTGTCGGGGTTCCACAAGAATTTAGAAAAAAAAATCAAAACACCTCTCTCTGGTGGCTGCGCGGACTCCGCGGCCGCGCGGAGACAAAACGCTATGAACATTATTTATTTTTTTATTTGTATTTGTACAAACATGTGTTACAATAGCTGGTACAAAATGTCATAAGTTTGGTATCAACAATTTTATACTTGTACAACCCGTTCGCTCTAAGTTTGCCGGTCTGTGGTATGCGCGTACCCTCCCACATGTGACAACAAAACTTATAATGTGTCATAGTTTTACCCAAATACATACACAATTTTTGTTGTTACAATTAAATAAAAAATATTTTGTATTATGTTTTACGGATGACGCTACTTTTCGAACGTACTTAAGTTTGCCACTGGCGATAGGTCATACCTTGTGAGCGCGCAGTTTCTTTGATAAAAGCCGCCTCTGAATTAGCGCTATAGTTGTCAACAAGCGACTTTCGCCTCTAACTTTTAAAGGATAAAGTCGATATTGTTTTCAACGCAATTTTTAAATTTCTGTTTTTATTTTTGCTTTTTGTTTATCTCTTCTTGTTTGTCTAGGACTAAGTATAAAAGCGGCGATTGCGCGTCACGCGTCTTCAGTTGACGATTAGCGTTCGGAGCGATCAGTTACTACCTACTTACAAGCTCGCTAACGAGAAACTAGTGTTCATTGTTTTACTGCCTGCTGTATTCTGTTGTCTCAGTTTTATCGGTACATTTCTTCACTGTAAGTGCTAAATTTAGTCTCTTATACGCAGTAACGATTGTGCATTATTTAAACCCCACTATCCTGACGTGTAATATTATAAATAAAGAAGAATGGAACGTTGGCTTAAAGGTGTTAAACGTGTTGCAACAACATCTTCTAATAACGCTGAATGTTTAAAAGCAGTGCGCGCGGAGAATATAGCAATCACCAATCCGGAAGATGATGCCTCGACGTCAAGCTTGACGGTTTCAAAAACGAAAAAAAGGAAGTATGATGAATCTTATATCAGTTTCGAATTTGTTGATTCCAACGGCTCACCTCTCTGCATGCTCTGTAGTAAACTGCTTCCTAATAGTTCCATGGCACCTGCCAAATTGCGCCGACATTTAGAAACTGTACACCCCGAGTCTAAAGACAAGAATAAAGAATTTTTTGTTCGCAAAAAAGATCAGTTATTAGAAAGTCAAAAAAATATGATGCATGTAACACAAACTATCAACGAAAAGGCCACGGAGGCATCATATTTAGTTAGCTATCGCATTGCACAAGCAGGTGAAGCGCACATTATCGCTGAGAATTTAATAAAACCATGTGTATTAGACATAACAAAATGTATGCTCGATGAAAAATCTGCAAAGCATCTATCTACTGTTCCGCTATCAAACGATACTGTTTCACGACGAATCCATGATCTGGCAAGCTACGTCAAACAAGAACTAGTTACACGTCTACAAAATACACGATTCGCCTTGCAAATGGACGAGTCGACTGATGTCGCTGGTTTGGCTATCCTGCTGGTTATTGTGAGATATCCATATAAAAGTTTTTTTGAAGAAGACATGCTTATGTCTTCACCGCTGCTTACAAACACTACCGGGGAAGAAATTTTTAATAAAATAAATATATTCTTTGAAGAAAATAATCTCAGTTGGAACAATTGTATTGACATTTGTACAGATGGGGCCAAGGCGATGACAGGTAAAACAGCAGGAGCAGTGTCACGAATGAAAAATAAAGCACCTAATTGTAGTTCCAGTCATTGTATTCTGCATAGACAAGCGCTTGCGATGAAACAAATGCCGTCAAATCTAAAATTAGTTATGGATGAAGCTGTAAAAATAATTAATTTTATCAAATCACGACCACTACAATCCCGATTGTTCTCATTATTGTGTGAAGATTGTGGCAGCAAACATAAAACACTGCTGCTCCATACAGAAGTGCGATGGCTGTCTCGGGGTAAAACTTTAACAAGGCTATTTGAACTCAGAGCCGAGTTACAAATGTTTCTTTCAGCAGATACTTCTTTTAATTTGAAGGACCGTTTGTATGATAAAAATTGGTTGTTTCGATTGTCTTTTATGGCGGATATCTTTCAAAAACTTAACGAATTGAATTTATCGTTGCAAGGCAAACAGGTAACAGTGTTTCAGGCCTATAATAAAATAACTGCTTTTAAAAGAAAATTAGATTTTGGATCATTTGCATTGGTAAGAAAGAAATAGAAAGCTTTACGTTACTCAGTGAGTTTATAAGCGAAAACGACTTAGAAATGGTCGAAGATGATATGTTTGCAGAATTGGTCAATTATCTCAGTTCGTTGCGCGCATCTTTTGAAAAGTATTTTCCCGAAGAACACAATACAAAAATTAAAGTGAATTCATGGATTCATAATCCTTTTTTACCTAATTTGGAAAAGCCTGAAAACATGTCAAACGAGATATATAAATCTCTTTTAGAAATGTCATCCGATACAAGTATGGAGTCACTATTCAAAACGACGCCTCTCAATGATTTTTGGTGCAGAATCCAAGATGAATATGCAATGCTTGGCCAAATGGCTCTGGATATTCTTCTCCCGTTCCCAACTACATATTTGTGCGAAACAGGATTTTCTACTTATGCAGCCACAAAAACAAAATATCGCAATAGACTGGACGCCGAAGCTGATATGAGACTCCAACTTTCTTCCATCAAACCAGACCAATTGATGAAAATTAAAAAACAGTTGCATACCTCCCACTAGTTAGATTTTTTCTTTTTTAAAGTTTTCTACTATCGTCCTTGCCAAGTGGTGAAGTAAATAATATTTAGTCACTGTTACATTTTACTTTTATTATGCTGATTAATAAAGAATACACTTATAAAAACAATTGTTTTATTGTAGGGTTCCATCAAGTATTTTGCTTCCCAAAAGGGCTCCGTCATTAAAAAAGTTTGAGAACCACTGATTTAGAGGATATCAAGTCTCAAACTTATGCTTCTTATTTCAGTTACCATAAACCTATAGTTTCAATTAAATACATTCCTGAATAACCTAAATGTATTGTAAGATATTAAAAATATTTCAAACAATATTAACTTTTTATTTATTCAATAAAAGAAAAGTATTTGTTTTTTTATCGATCAATACGCTGAAAAAGTGTAACTTGAATGAATATCAAAGAAAAAAAAATTATACATAAAAAATAAATAAATAATTATAATTGCATAAGTTAATAAAAAATGCTATGCAATAGCTTTATCGCAGTAGTCCCGAGTGGCACTCCTACTGTTTTAACATTACCAACAAGTGAAGGTATTTAGTCGGTTTTGACACTTGCAAGTCGCAAGAATATAAAATGTTCGGCAAGACCTGAACTTAGCTCTTCCTTATTTGTTAACCATATATAAGCGAGTACTAAAAAACTTTTTTGGAAAAAATGTTATTTGATTATTTTACAGTCTTTTTTGTCTTGAATAACATGGTAAAGTATAACAAAAAAAGTATCCTCAAGAAGTTGACTACGTCGCACCAGAGTAGGTGAATTCAACGACGCGTCAAGTTTAGAGTTGTTATAACAACTATTGTTCTTTTTCAATATCGAACCTGCTTGGAAGAACACGCAGATTGTACCTAGATTGTGGTAGGATACAGAATAGTTAAGGGCTTTGTACAACTATATCCCATTTTAAAATTATGAGTTTCCTTAATTACATATCATAATATTATATGTGACCTTATTAATCCTTTGTTAAACAATGAAATGCAAGTACGAGTACACAACTGGAAAATATTGATCAAAAATAAATAGATGTAAATAGTAATATGTTTAGCGTTAAAAGGAGAGTTAAGAAATTTTGAGGCAGTACTAATCGTTTATAATTACTTCCACTTCTCCATATCATTTCCGATGTAAAATAATTTCTTGACAACCAATCATACTAATTAAAATCAAACTATCAAGGAGTCAGTGTATCACCATAGGTAGCTTTCCTTAAGGTGATTGTTTAATTTGGAGTCTATGATGCATTTTCTCCTAAAGTTGATTCAATGGATAATTTTGTGTCTAGGAAAGAATGCAATGGTATATTTTCTCTAATGGTTCTCAAATTCCGAGCCATTACCACTTCTTTGTCTTATCATTCGTACGCCAGGAACACAGATGGTGCGCTAAAATTGTAAATGTACAAAGGACAAAAATTAAATTAAACTACATTTTTATATTTTATTTAAAAATGAAATCTTAAATTTCTATTAAATCACAGAATAAAAAAGTTATCGCAATCACAAAATTATGAATAGTTCTCCGTTTAACTATTAGCGGCGTTAATTTGCGCTTTGAATATATCAACGAGTCTTTGCTGGCGTTTTCCCATACCCAGAGCTGCTCTTCTTACGGATCCTTCAGTGGGATCTGCTATTAATTGTTTCATTACTTGTTTTCTGGCCATAGTGAAACACTGTATTTGCGCAACTGTTATGAGGAGTATTATCGTCAGAAACTTGATATTAGATTTTTGTAAAAGCTTCATTTTTGAGTTGAATAAATTCAAAGGAGCAAAAGTTGTTCGTTTAATCGTTTTTCGTTCGTAATTAAAATGTTAACGCAAATGTACTGATATATATATCATAATTTAAATTATTATTCTCTTGTGGTTCCGGAAAAACAAGTTTAGATTTATATTATATATAATAAATGATAATTGCGGAAATTAAATGCAATAAAACATAACTTTTGAATCGTCTGACGTAAATCTCAAAGACTGACGATTCCTCAGTTGATGACGACAATTTCCGATAAAGTAGTCTTAATCATATGTAAATCTCAGTATTTTATCTTAAAAAGTTTACTATCGTCAGTTATGAGCAATGTTGCATTTTATGGACATGCTGTATGCATTTTGGGAGTTTGGCTTTGCCAATCTTTTTCATGTTCTATTTTTATCTCTACCAAAAGTTTATGATAAATCAAGCTAGCTATATATAATACAATAGTTTGTATTGAGAGTGTAATAAGAATCTTTGGTAATATAATATAATACAAAACTTTTTTGTCACGCCCACATTCTGGATCATTGAAATAGTGGACGTTTTAAATGAAAATTTTATCTCTGAAAATACCGTGTATGTATGTTTTGCGAAGTACGCCCTTAGGGAAGTTCTTTTTCTTCGCATATAACAGCCGATTATGAAAACCCTTAGAGGCAAGCTATTTCATCGCATATAATGGTTTGAGTGTTTGTGAAAGCGATCCTGACGCAGATAAAAAAAATGAAGAAGTAAGGAAAGGCTAAGTTTGGGTGTTACGGAACATTTCATACGCTTAAGCTTGCAAAGAGTTGGCAAAACTTTATACTAAGAAATGTACCGAAAGAATTCCACTTCACTGTTCAACGAAATCGTGTCAGGATTTCAATAAATATTGGTATCATAATAACTAATTTTGAAGGTCATAAACTAACTTAGTTTTATCACTATATTTCACTTCCCGTTAGCGAAAAGTATACTAAAATCATTAGAGGCATAGAAATATAAGCGTTGATTGCATTAGGTTTTGACCTTGCTCAGGTATACTTAAGAACTTATTTTCAAGCAAATGTATAAACATATAATATGTGAATATAAACATTTATATCAAAAAAGTGAATTTTAGCTATATGAGGGCTAAGGCTAGTTTTCGCCCGATTTTATCCATTTTTGGTACAAACATACACTATTATTAGAAAAATACGCTTTCTCATTTGCATTGAGGTTACTCACACATTGACCGATGCGGTAGCAAGTCACCGGAAGTTTAAAAATCTTTATATTACTTACATATATAGGAGCTAATGGAAGTATTGATCCGATTCAACGTGCAAATTTTTATACCGATATACTTGTATTAATTAGTGCTTGGTTTGTATACTAGAAATTGAAAAAATCAGATGGAATTTAAAGTTGTGTTTTATGGGAAGTCGGCATGATTACTGTCCAATTTTGCCCATTTTTGCACTGTTTCATGGGTATGTCCTTTTTGTGTCATCTAGGATATAAAATTTAATGTTTCTGACTAATTTCGTTATTGATTTATCGCACTTTTAAAAAATGTTCAAATCACATATGCCCCTTACTACTGCAATTTGTTGTACCAAATTATAGGTTTGTATAATAATTTGCGGCTTAGTTATGGCAATTAATATTTTTAGATTAATGGCACTTTGTGGGCGTGGAAGTGGTCCGATTACGCCTATCTACGAACCCGTCTTTTCATTAAAATATCTAAATTTTTACTCAGGTTATCGCTTGCTCAGGGGAACAGACGGGCAGACGGACGGATGGACAGACGAACAGACAGACAGTCACTCGGAATTCAACTCGCCTCGGCATCCTGATCATTTATATATATATAACACCTTTATTTCGATTATCTTTAACTGATACAAACAACCGTTAGGTGAACAAAACTATTATCTGTAGCAATATGTTGCAAGAGTATAAAAATAGTAATATCGGTCGGTAATTCAATTCTTGCTTTTAGAAAGGAAATTGAGCAGTAAAATCAAACAGTGGTTGCCTAAAGTAGTAGCACTTTGTTAAAGACTGTTAATAATTGGTGGAACGCATTTACCGAATTATGTCGATTCGACTTCAAATTGCAGTAAAACGGAACCATTGGTCGAAAGAAAATTAGCTCTTCCACCAACGAACCGGCTTACACCTTCTTGGCAAATTGATTAAATTACGCTGTGAGCTGCTGATTCTGAATTTGACGAGCTAAAGAAGTTGGAAAATCGCTGATTCATATCTACCGATCAGACACTGGACTATGTTGAGAAATAAATCACAACTTTCCAAAATTTTCGATTATCTTTATAGGCTACGTAGTTATCCAACCTCAAAAATTACGAAAATAAGGGACATGTTGATTGCTATATCTCATTGTACAAGTTTGTACTAAAATTTTTTTCTGCGTTAGACCCTATTTTCGTTAAAGTTAAATATGAATCTGTTCTCAGTGTTGCCACTTTTTGCTTTTATCGCAATAGTGTAATTATAACTTACATTATTTTGTACCATATATAAACGAGTACTAAAAATGTATTGTCTTGAAGTTAAAGATAAATTTGAATACTGATTTACGTATTCTATTTCAAACCCCGTGTTAAATATTGCATGGAATTCATGATAGATCATTTATATTTTAAGCATTCTGTGATTTAACATAACAATTTTCTTAACTTTTCTTTTGGAAATTACTAAAGATCTTTCATATTCATATACAACTAATTAAATTAAAGGTTTAAAAACTCTATGCTGTAAGTTTTCTCCTGATTTTTTCTTCAGCTTTTGGGGTTTTGGTAAGTGGTTATGATAATTGTTAAAATCGCGTACTGTCGGCACTGTGAAAATATATTCTACGAGCATGAAAGTCATAATCTCGCAACACGTTGCACAGAACATAAAAGTTTTGTTAAGATAACAGTTGTTTGTAACAGCTAAAGCGGATCGAAATAGATATAGATATGATTAGGATGACGGAGGAGTTGAATTCCGGATTCCGCTCTGTCCGCCTGTCCGTCGGTCTAATGGGAATAAATATAGTGATACTGTTTCTACAGGAATTGTTGCAATTGTATTTTATACATAGTTCAATTGACCCTTTGACCTGACTTCTGTCAATTTATAACATCTATATTCATTTAGCTTGCT